GTTGCTGCTGTTGCTGTTGCTGTTGTTGCTGTTGTTGTTGCTGCTGTTGCTGCTTCTGCTGTTGCTGTTGTTGCTGTTGTTGTTACTGCTGTTGCTTATGCTGGTGCTGTTGTTTTTGGTGCTGCTGCTGCTGTTGTTGTTGTTGTTGCTGCTGCTGTTGCTGCTGTTGCTGTTACTGCTGTTGCTGCTGTTGCCTATGCTGGTGCTGTTGTTTTTGGTGCTGCTGCTGCTGTTGTTGTTGCTGCTGCTGCGGTTGCTGTTACTGCTGTTGCTGCTGCTGCTGTTGCTGCTGCTGTTGCTGTTACTGCTGTTGCTGCTGTTGCTTATGCTGGTGCTGTTGTTTTTGGTGCTGCTGCTGCTGTTGTTGTTGTTGCTGCTGCTGCTGTTGCTGTTACTGCTGTTGCTGCTGTTATTACTGCTGTTGCTTATGCTGGTGCTGTTGCTTTTGGTGCTGCTGTTACTGCTGTTGTTGCTGCTGTTACTATTGTTGTTGCTGCTGCTATTGCTGCTGCTGTTGTTGCTGCTGTTGTTGCTGGTGCTGTTGTTGCTGGTGCTGTTGTTGCTGCTGTTACTGCTGTTGCTGTTGTTTTACCGCTGCTGCTGTTGCTGCTATTGCAGCTGCTGCTGTTGCTGTTTTTGATGCTGTTTTTGCTGACGTTGTTGCTGGTGCTGTTGTTGCTGCTGCTGCTGTTGCTGTTGTTGCTGCTGTTGTTGCTGGTGCTGTTGTTGCTGTTGCTGTTGTTGCTGCTATTGCAGCTGCTGCTGTTGCTGTTTTTGATGCTGTTGTTGCTGATGTTGTTGCTGGTGCTGTTGATGTTGTTGCTGGTGCTGTTGTTGCTGTTGCTGTTTTTGCTGTTGCTGTTGCTGCTGCTGTTACTGTTGCTGCTGCTGTTGCTGTTGCTGCTGCTGTTGCTGCTGTTGTTGTTGTTGCTGCTGCTGTTATTACTGCTGCTGTTGCTGTTGTCCAGTTCGCCATGGTCAGTTCAACATTTTTCATCCAAGAAACCATTTCACTTTAAAAATAGAAGCACCAATTGCAGCGTAGACGTCCAAAAAAATTTCGGAAACCGATACGCCCTCTCGCTGGTCCCTAAGTGGGTCAAAATGGCCAGCACGAGGGCAAAAAGCACATCGAGATTTGGAGTAAGTCTCGTCTATTTTTCTGTGTATAATTAAGATGAGCCGAACTATCGAAAATAACTTTTCAATAATAATAATAACGTAAATTATAATAAATAACTATAAACTATCGAAAATAACTAGGAAATAGCAGTACATAGCATGGCTGTACACAGCACGGCTGTACACAGCACGGCTGTACGCAGCACGGTTAGGTTAGTACAGTTACAGACCTCATTTAAGTCGGTGTGAATCCTCCTTAGAGTATCCATGATGCGCTGGTGTCAACGTGCCCGTAGGAATAGCATTATAAAGACGAACGTGTCAACGTGACCGTAGGAATAGCATTGTTGTTAAGACGCGCGTGTCGGTCCGGCATTTAATGGCTGATAAAGCGACTTATTATAAGGTAATAAACTTCACGATCTGTTTAACTTAGTTCTAGGTCATATATGGGACAGATCTTCAGAATATGATAATGATTTTAGTTAATTGAATGATAGTTCTTTAATTAAAATCAAACATTAACTGCATTTACAGCAATTAACTGTCACATAACGGGACGAGTGATCGATCAGCGCACCAGAGCAACACACCCTCACTCGCCAAGGCCGCGGCCGCTACTGATGACCCACAATTTCACAGCTGGGGGCTGAAGCGAAACCCGCGTCGCTGATTGGTCGAGCAGGTGCCTGACCACGCACGCTATTGGCTGGCGCGGGGAAACTCATTTATGCCCGAGGCTGGCAACCGCATAAATGTTTTGCATGCGCGGCTTTTTTTCCTCCGTAGCTTCTTCCTTAACTGACATACCTGCGCACTGCTGGCGTATTTGGTGCGTTTAGAAATGCGTATATTGGTTGTGTGTACAAAGGCTTGCCACTCCTCCCCCAGGGGAATGAGGAAGGGCTTGGGATTCTGGGACAAGGTCCCGTATAGGGACTAGATATTCCCACATATAATCAGTAAAATGAGTGAGAGTTTGTCCAAAGTAGGATGGACTTTTTGCCTCTGGTTGGACTATCATGACCCAGTCCGGCTCTGGAAAAGGGCGTATCAGTGCTACGTCCGCTCTCTACTAGTGCTGTATGGAAGAAACTGTGTCATTAATATTATTTGGACAATATGTCCCATTTATTTATTTAAATGCATTACTGCTACCTGAGTCACGTAAGACCCATTCAGAGAAAATTGAATGGGATAAACTGTCCAGAAAATGGACCAAATGCATACCCACAGCGAAAGCAGAGATCGCAGCTCTGATAGGTACGTGTTTTTGCCGGGTCAAAGTGAGTCAGGATGACCCACACAAGGACAGAAGTGCATCGCCGCCCGGGGCCACTTCCACTTTCTGTGGCGGCGGCGACGCGGAAGTGAAGAAGCCTGAACTTTCATCACATCCCGACACACTTTTGCTTCTTATATTAAAAGCTGATTATGATCTAAAGCTTTGTTTTAATTTGTTTTAAGGAGTTAAATTTGTAATTAATTTGTTTGAAAATTAAAAAAATTAAATTTGTTTTAAATTCAAGTTGTTTTAATTAAAAGCTGATTTTGTTGTAAAGATTTGATTAAATTTGTTTTAAGAAGCTTCATTGTTAATATATTTGTTTTAAAAATTAAAAAGAGAAGAAAATTAAAATTTTTATAAATTAAATTTGTTTTAAGCTTTGACACTTTCAAGAGGACAATACCAGGAGGACAGTACCAGGAGGACAATACCAGGAGGACAATACCAGGAGGAGGTCATGACGTTATTATGTTGGTTCTTGACAATTCTTCTAGAAATAAAACTCTCATGGATGAACTTTTGCTAAGAAGAATAAATAAATAAATTATTAAATCTTAATATAGTTATAATAACGATAATAATAAATAATGATTGTTTCCCCTGAAAACGAATTGTCCTTCATAGAAAACTCTAAATTTTAAGGCCAACTGAACTAAACGAACATACAATAAATGACTTAGGATTTAGATATTTAGTAAATAATTTCTTCTAAACAATTGAAAGAATCAATTTGTGTCATGATTGAATATAAAATAATAACAATAATATATATGTATGTTAATAATATGTAATATGTATAATAATAATAAATATGTATGTATAACAATAATAATATGTATATTATTTTAATTAATTTGTATACTTCATATACACTCTGAACAATTAGTGAGTTACGTTGTCGAAATAGTGACGTAATTGACGCATGAAGCATCGATATATGTTCTTTTCCCGGGCAAACTAGGTTAAAATGACCCATACAACGATAAAAACACATCGCTATTTGGACAAAAGTCCCATGAATGTCTGTGAGTAGTGAGTTTATTGTGATTTCTTGAATTAATTACCATATTTTATCAGTTAAATTAGGTTAAGGCGTGTTTCCAATTACCATTTGTGTATAAAAAGAAGCAGGCAATGCTTATTATTTATTAATATATTATATTTTCATTAAAAATGATAAACAGCTTTTGACACTAATAACTAAGTGAGTAATAAATACTGAGGTAATAAACATAGCTGCTTATTGCGCTGCTGAACGCAACTGTGCGGGCTTTCCTTAGCTCCTGATAACTGGCAGGATACTGGGCATGTCCTACACTGCAGCGTCCTGTGGTGGTGGTGTGGTGGTGGTGGTGGTGGTGGTGGTGGTGGGCATGTCCTACACTGCAGCGTCCTGTGGTGGTGATGTGGTGGTGGTGGTGATGTGGTGAGTGGTGGTGATGTGGTGGTGTACAGGGCTGTCCTACACTGCAGCGTCCTGTGGTGGTGATGTGGTGGTGGTGGTGTGGTGGTGGTGTGGTGAGTGGTGGTGGTGTGGTGAGTGGTGGGCATGTCCTACACTGCAGCGTCCTGTGGTGGTGATGTGGTGGTGGTGGTGATGTGGTGAGTGGTGGTGATGTGGTGGTGTACAGGGCTGTCCTACACTGCAGCGTCCTGTGGTGGTGATGTGGTGGTGGTGGTGTGGTGGTGGTGTGGTGAGTGGTGGTGGTGTGGTGAGTGGTGGGCATGTCCTACACTGCAGCGTCCTGTGGTGGTGATGTGGTGGTGGTGGTGATGTGGTGAGTGGTGGTGATGTGGTGGTGTACAGGGCTGTCCTACACTGCAGCGTCCTGTGGTGGTGATGTGGTGGTGGTGGTGTGGTGGTGGTGTGGTGAGTGGTGGTGGTGTGGTGAGTGGTGGGCATGTCCTACACTGCAGCGTCCTGTGGTGGTGATGTGGTGGTGGTGGTGATGTGGTGAGTGGTGGTGATGTGGTGGTGTACAGGGCTGTCCTACACTGCAGCGTCCTGTGGTGGTGATGTGGTGGTGGTGGTGTGGTGGTGGTGTGGTGAGTGGTGGTGGTGTGGTGAGTGGTGGGCATGTCCTACACTGCAGCGTCCTGTGGTGGTGATGTGGTGGTGGTGGTGATGTGGTGAGTGGTGGTGATGTGGTGGTGTACAGGGCTGTCCTACACTGCAGCGTCCTGTGGTGGTGATGTGGTGGTGGTGGTGTGGTGGTGGTGTGGTGAGTGGTGGTGGTGTGGTGAGTGGTGGGCATGTCCTACACTGCAGCGTCCTGTGGTGGTGATGTGGTGGTGGTGGTGATGTGGTGAGTGGTGGTGATGTGGTGGTGTACAGGGCTGTCCTACACTGCAGCGTCCTGTGGTGGTGATGTGGTGGTGGTGGTGTGGTGGTGGTGTGGTGAGTGGTGGTGGTGTGGTGAGTGGTGGGCATGTCCTACACTGCAGCGTCCTGTGGTGGTGATGTGGTGGTGGTGGTGATGTGGTGAGTGGTGGTGATGTGGTGGTGTACAGGGCTGTCCTACACTGCAGCGTCCTGTGGTGGTGATGTGGTGGTGGTGGTGATGTGGTGGTGGTGGTGGTGATGTGGTGGTGATGTGGTGGTGGTGTGAGTGGTGGTGGTGATGTGGTGGTGATGTGGTGAGTGGTGGTGATGTGGTGGTGGTGGTGGTGTTGTGGTGGGTGATGGTGATGGTGATGTGGTGAGTGGTGGGCATGTCCTACACCTGTCTCTTATACACATCTAGATGTGTATAAGAGACAGGGGTGATGGTGATGCGGTGAGTGGTGGGTGACGGTGATGTGGTGAGTGGTGGGTGATGGTGATGTGGTGAGTGGTGGGTGATGGTGATGTGGTGAGTGGTGGGTGATGGTGATGTGGTGAGTGGTGGGTGATGGTGATGTGGTGACTAATGGGTAATGGTGACAGAAGCGGTATAGGTACTTAAAAAGTTAATGGGTTATATAGTAACAAAGGGTACATTGCAATTTGGACAAAGTCCAGCTCATTTCTCCTAGTGTGTATTGTTGCCAACAGTACAGATAACCAGACCATCATACAGTGACTTACTGTATAATGAAGGATCTTAGGATACGATTGTATATTCTACATAGAATACGATTATATATACGAGATAGAATATGATTATATAGGTATTCTATATAGAATACGATTATATATTCTTCATAGAATACGATTATATATTATACATAGCATACGATGCCATATTCTAAATGAATTATTGTAACCACTTCAAAAACACCATTTTCCAGCACAATCACTACAGAATAATTATGAAGCGTGAACTAATAAGTTTATTACGTCAGCAGAAACTTATAAACGTTGCACATGAAGATGCTTTATCTGCCACGCTATCGACCGCAATTATAGCCATCATGTCAACATCTTTATATATTATTTTAATATAATATATAGATCTTGACTTATTGGTTTACAATAGTGTTCGCCCTGTGGGTAAGAAAGTGTGTCTATATTTGGACAATATGACCCGTATATTTTTCTCAGCTGAGTGCATCCTACAGTATGCGCGGTCTCAGGATGCAGGAGAGCATCCTACAGTATCCTACAGCATCCTACTGCATCCTACAGTATCCTACAGCATCCTACTGCATCCTACAGTATCCTACGGCATCCTACAGTATCCCACAGTATCCTACAGCATCNTCTTGAATTAATTACCATATTTTATCAGTTAAATTAGGTTAAGGCGTGTTTCCAATTACCATTTGTGTATAAAAAGAAGCAGGCAATGCTTATTATTTATTAATATATTATATTTTCATTAAAAATGATAAACAGCTTTTGACACTAATAACTAAGTGAGTAATAAATACAGAGGTAATAAACATAGCTGCTTATTGCGCTGCTGAACGCAACTGTGCGGGCTTTCCTTAGCTCCTGATAACTGGCAGGATACTGGGCATGTCCTACACTGCAGCGTCCTGTGGTGGTGGTGTGGTGGTGGTGGTGTGGTGAGTGGTGGTGGTGGGGATGTGAGTGATGGGTGATGCAGTGACTGATGGGTGATGGTGATGCAGTGACTGATGGGAACTAACTATATATGCTACATGGAATACGATTATATATATACATAGTATATGATTATATTTTCTACATGGAATATGATTATATATTCTACATAGTATATACGATTATACATACTACCGTACATAGAATACTATTATATATTCGACATAGAAAACGATTATATATCCTAAAAAATACGATTATATATTATTCATAGATCATTGGAACAACGTCAAAAAAACAAAAATAAGTGTTTTTTTTTTGTAATAAATAATAAATCTCCAGCATAAATAAATAATAAATCTCCATTTTGTAATAATATTAAATCTCCAGCATAATCATTACAGAATAATTATGAAGCGTGAACTAGGTAATAAGTTTATTATGTCAGCAGAAACTTATAAGCATTGCACATAAACCCACAGCATCCTACAGCATCCTACAGTAGTATCCTACACTATCCCACAGTATCCTACAGCATCCTACAGTATCCTACAGCATCCTACAGTAACATTTAAGCTCATAAATAAACCATAAACTTAAAAGCAAGTAAATCGCCACGTAAATCCAACATATTTTCATTGGGAACGTTTCGAAGAGAAGAAGACCGGCTCCACTACCAACATAAGCAGGATATAATATAATATAAGCATAAGCAGAATATAATATAATAAATCAGTAGAAATATATTTTTAAACAATGGGTTCAACAGTTCAAAACCATGTGTTTGTATCTAATTCGTTTGAAATTGTTAATAGAACTTTTCGCTCCTGCGTTTGTTTATATGCTTTTTAAACTTTAGTTTCCGTCTAAATTATATTCTTTCTGTTTATTATTTTTTTGAATTATGAAAGTTTCGAACTGATAATGGAGCTAAAATTTTCTTCGCTTCTTCGTAATTTGAATTAATTAAGTGATTTTCATGATAATTACATCTATAAACGCAACACTAGTTCAATATTGCCTCACGATAGGCAAATAGTTGAATAATACAATTTAAAATTGTAGATAAAGATGGTGCATAACAATACATATGGCGTATGAATGAATGACTTGATATTAGTCACTTTACTAGGCTAGCTAGCACAGACTTCGACTACGAGTCTTCAAAACGAAAAGCCGGCAAATGGAAATTTATACTAAGAAGGTTTTACTCACCTACTAAGGGTCATAAGATGAGGATATCAAACGGTTATGTTGTTAACAAATTTCAAGTTTTTCGATAATCGTAAGTTGTGCGCTGGTCCTAACTTGTTTGTAGAGCCTATCGATCTTCGTCTGGTGTCTCCTGCTTCTTTAAAGCACAATTTCTTAAAATCTTTGGCTTTAAAACACTCAATTAGAAAATGGTATTACACCTCAAAACCTTTTATTAAATACCAGACACTTATACATTCATAAAACTGCACGTTTTCTAGAGGTTAAATGGAGACACCATTGATCGAGTCTCAGGAAATACTGCTACATGACCTCACTTCACCACGTCTCGAGGTACACTAAGTAATGTCAACAAACCAAACCATGCCAGACGCATTTTTATCTCATAATCTATAGGCCTACATCAGAATTCCATGAAATTAAAATGAAATTTATCTCAACTGATTGAATTCATCTGAAATTCATTAAAATCTTTGCCTTTATTCATTTTTTTCTCCATGGGGAAAACTAGATACAGAGCGACCTCAACCAGTTTCTTGGGCGTCTTAACGAAACGAATAAAATTGAATTGATCAAACTGTATTTCAAATAACTCAAATATATTGAAAAATTGATAAATTATCTAAAATCACAAGGGACTTTGCAACATGCATTCTTTTGCAATGCATTTTATTTTATCTCATTCGTTACTAATATGTTGCCAAGTTGATCGGCAGCGTGGCGGCGTACGACAACGTGCCGTGCTTGCTTGCGGTCACGACAACATGAAGCTAGTGACAGAAAACGATAAGAAAACAAATATTTAGGTCCTCAAAAAATAAACCAATTGGAAACTAATATGACGTTTTTATTTGATTTATTAGAGTACGTAGGAAACAAATTTACAAACACGCGTTAAGTTGCAACACGATCATTGATTGATTATGGTTAGTATTGAAATGATTTTTTTTCTACCCTTTTTTCAACACTTCTCTTTAACTTTACTTCTTGTTTGTCTGTCTGCTACTAATCTCATAATCGATAACAAACACACTCTACCTGTTCAATCGATCAGAAATTCCCATCCGACGTCCGGGCCTCTTCGTGGTGGATGTACCCCCCCGGGACGACCCGTCGCTCCCATGGTTGAACTAGTATAAGGTTGGCCCATCAGAAGCCCATTTTGCGGACGTAGTTCGTTGTTCGCCTGTAACGTCACTGATCTCAGTGACGTCACAGGCATTAACCAATCACCGAAATGCGATCAAGCCAGTCAACCAATCCGTCATGGGAATGACGGGTTTGTTTACGTTTCTCGATCTCAGTGACGTAACATAAAAGCTGAACTGAAAGATGGAACTCATCGTGGGTCAACCTTATATAGTTCAACCATGCGTCGCTCCCGTTGGGCCAAACACGGACACAACTCCCGGACGAGCTGCGAGCCGTTTTTAGCGCATTTTCTCATTTATGGAAAAAATGCACTATTGTGCTCGCCATGTCCGCCCGTCCGTCAGTCTGTGACTTCACGTTTTCGTCGAAGAGAAAATGCGCTCTCTGTCACTCACTGCAGTGAGTACTGAGTTATATTTTTTCGGCTGGGCGGCGCCCCCATGTGGGGCGTCGCTTCTACCCATCGTCCCTCCTAACCTCGGCTCGTCCATTACATCTTGCCTCATACTCAGCTCATCAGAAATTTTCCACACTTGCATAAAGTCAAAGACAATGCATGAATCAGCTGACAGAATAAATAATTTGGATTTTTTTTAATTTTGAAAATAAAATTTAAAATTAATTTTTGTAATATGACAATAAAATTAGAAATTCATTGTACATTGTAATATCGGAGACACTGGATTCTTTAGAAGTGTTGTCTTTAAGAAGTAATTTCTAAACGTATATTATTACTGCACCCTGTACTAGGGCGCAGTACCCTGACGCATTTTATTAAGTTTACAAGCCCTGCCTTACTATTTCTTCAATGGCACCTCGCGGTCACCATCGGCATCAAATGTTCCTCATAATCGAACTAGAAACAAAACGAATGACCGCGCGGTTCACCTATGACGTAACCGGTTCTCATCATAACCGTGTGTTGCGTCACCGGCACATTGACCGGTTCACACGACGCGCGGCTTTCGCTGAGCGATGGAGGAATGGGTAGAAATGGAGGGAGAAAGAAGGGCGGATGGTGGAACGCAGGACTAAGTAAGTGGAGTTGGAAAACAGGAAATGGAAGGGGTAATAATTACTTTCAAGGATAACATAAAAATGCAAAAATACTTGCAACACTGAAAACGATGGGATGGGGATCAGCGAAAGGGAAGTGGAGATAAACGAGATAATACATAAATACCGGCCAATAAATAATAAATTATTAATAATGAATTACTAAAACCGTTTTATTGTCTCCGCCACGGGCGCCGTGACTTAACGTAACGTAAACTCAAAGGTAAATGAGAGGCAATGGAGTGCAGGTTTAATTAAGTTTGCCTTACGATTCATTACGTGCACTAAGATATTATTTAAAAATAAACAGACTAAACGATCCACATATCAAGGCTGGTGAATAATATGCAAGAAATACAGCGGAAAAGATACAGAAATAGAAGAATATTTGTGTGGTTGTATAAATGGTACATTCTTAACGACTGTAATAGAATAAATACACAATAAAGACATTTTATACATCGTCACGGTTTCCAGCGATTTTTTTTTCGTCCATTTTTGCGTGTCTCAACATTTTTTAATTCCAGAAAACATATATGGTTTATATAGAAAAAACGTTATTGCCTGGAGTTCTATGGGACGGTTCTAGCACTACGATATACCGCCCCGGTATGGAGCTTCGTCAGTTTCCATCGATGAATATTGATCAACATCCATTACAGATTCGTCATCTGCATCGCCGCCAGCGGAGACGAGCGACACACGACCTCCGCTCGTGACGGCGTCAGCGCGCCAACTGATGTTCTTGTGGCTCTCGGTGGGGCTGTTGAGCGCGTTGCGGTCGTTTTCTTTGTCCAGCTTCAAAGAAAACGAGGCAGGAGAGACCACGTTATCTTTCCAGGGCTTGGCGTAGCTAAAATCAGAGCAGGAAGATGACGTACTGGACGGGGACATGCAAGGACGGGACGGAATGGACCCACTGGAATGTGAGGATGAAGAGAACGAGTTGTGGATGGAATTCTCTGGGGAGGATAATGATGTGGTTGAGAACACTGCAAAGCATGACGTCACTGGAGGACAATGCACTGTTTCGGGGGTAGGAGTCTTGATGCTTAAATGGGCAGGACGGGGTTTGGGGAGGGGTTTAGTGGTGGTCGGAGAGGGTCTAGGGACTAGCCTGGGCTTGGAGAGGCTAAGGACGGGAGGCTGGGCTACATGACTCGAGTGTAACGGCCTGCTCTCGTGACTGGATGGAGTGGGCTTCCCAATTTTGTTGTGTGTGGGAGTGGGGGATTGTCGTTGTCCCAATGGGGATCGTAGTACTCTTTGATCCCCATCAAGTGAACCCCTGTTAGTCCTCAGTACATGATGCGGTTTAGCGTCCTGATCCCCTCGGGGAATACCGCTGGGGTTGTTACCGACGAAAGGCAACTGTTCTCCATCACGTTTCTCATATTCCCGGCCATGCAGGCCGTTAGTGCTGGAGAAAAAATCAGACACTGTGTTGGACTTCTTAGGCGCAGGCTGGAACATGGGGGGCGAGTGAGACGGGGTCTTACGGCTGGCAGGGGACAGCCCGTTGGGGGTTGCCGCACCTCCTGGACCCACTTTTGTGGCAGAAACTGCATCGAGAGACCGGGCACCAGCAGTATCGCTGTGGTTCACCCCTGATGAAGACGAGCACTTGGATATTGAATTACCCTTAAGAGGCTGGTACGTGGGAGACCCGTTATGAAGGGCCTCGACGTTCCTGGAGAAAATACTTCTGGGGGATCGGGCGCTGATGGTGGTGGTGGTGGCGGGGGTTTTGGTGATGACGGAGGTGATGGTGCGGGTTGGAGACGGAGAGGCTGCCCTCAGACTGGGTTCCCCTGCACTGCCCTCCAGCAGACGTGGGCGGCAACAGTTCCTGGTGGGGGACTCCTCGAACCTGCGGGACAAATGCCTCGTGGGGGAGGCTTGGGTGCGACGTGATACGTGGACACTTCTGGCCACACTTGGGGAGGAGGATGGGGTGTGGGTGCAGCTTCTGGACAGCCGATGAGGGCTTCCAGTGGTGGAGTCTTTGAGACTTTCATCCTCAGATGGTGAGGAAGAGGTTGAGTGCTGGCTTCTGGAGTTGGGGCGATCTCCTGATTCACATCCTTCTAGACTGCGACGGGATGACGTTGCAGGTGGGGAGTTGTGGCTTCTAGAAAATATTGTGGCTTCCCCATTTTGGGATGAGGATGCAGGGGGAGACCGTCTGTCGGCTGCAGGCCACGACCTCCTACAGACAGGGGGAGACTCAAAGGACCTTCGAGAGGAACCTGAGTGTTTCCGGGACGGGGAAGGGGATTGTTTGGGGGACGTATATCTCCTCCCGGGGGTCGGTGATCCCCCAGGAGGCTGTTTGGGGCTAGAGATGTCCTTTGGAGCCAAATCCCCATCAGATAGGTTCTTCCCAGCACAATCAGAACTATCGTTGTTCCTGGCATTGCAAGGGGAAGAACCTCGGGAAGAACCATCAGTTGTTTGTGAGAACCTTCTAGGGAGCTGGGGACTAGTTCTAGGGGAACGAGAACTTGGGGAGTTGCTGTTCCGTCTCGACAAAACTGAAGAACCTTCAGGCGACCTGGAAGAACCAACACGGTTCTCAGTGGACGGCGGTCTCGAGTTCTTAGTACTGACAGGCTTCGGTGATGACTCTGGGAACCTTAGTTTGCAATAGGCAGGCAGAACCGGTTTCCGGGCCACAGGCGGTTTGCTTATTGGGTTCTTTTTAGTACCAGAATCTGCAGGCGCGGCGGGAGTGGAGATTTTAGAAGGTTTGGGGGGCAGTTTGGGTTTAGCAGAACTGGAGGGAGAAGGGACCATGTTTTTAGATACGTTAGAGGGGGCAAAGTTAATGGTGGCTCTGGAGGTGCACATGTTCTGTACGTCTTCTGACAACTGCGGCAGGTCATCAGCTGCAGCTACCGTGGCATTTGTTGTAACTGACTCGAGGATAACAGGTGTAGCAGGTGCAACAGGTGCAGCGGCACACTCAGCTGCAATGGGTACAGCATAACCATCTACAGCTGCAGGTGCAGACATCTCAGCACCTGCAGCAGATGCGCCAGAACCGGCAACATTGAGGTTATCGTAGGTAGACGTGAAGACAATTTCAGTTCCAGATTCCTGGAAGTTGTGGACTTCAGTGGACTTCGATGTTACCTTCTTTTCTGTGCAAGCATCTGAAATGTTCCCAGTGATGGCAGTGGACTTACGTCCCACATCGGAAGGGATGAGGCCTTTTGTTGTCCCAATTGAAGCTCCCACGCGTGTTGGTTCCTCATCATTTACATTATTTTCTGCCACTTCACCACCATTTTCAACCCCTTTACTGTCGTTTCCAACCAATTTACCACCATTTTCAACCCTTTCATTGCCATTTTCAACCCTTTTACCTCCATTTTCAACCCTTTTACTGCTGTTTTCAACCTCATCACTGGAATTTCCTAGAGCCAAAGCACCGTTTCTGGCCGCGGCGTGACCATTGCTAGGGCTCAGCCGGAAATGTTCGTCGTCTGACGAAGTAGCCGCGGAGTAAACAACCCCCACGGGGGGCTGTTCGACCCCCACGGGGGTCTGTCCGACCCCCACGGGAGGCTGTGTGTCCCCCACAGTGGGGGGAAGGGAGGCGAACCCGCTGAACCAGGGGTGATGCAGCGCCTGCTCCACTGACAGTCGGCAGCTGGAAAACAATGAGGGGTTCAGCGGCGGGTTGATAAATAAACCCCGGGGATTAGCCTTTTAATGCTACAGCAACTTCTTTGCTAAGGTTAGTATTAGTAATTTGTCGGCTTATCAAAAAGCAAGTCTTAGGATTAGAATTAGTGATTTCTTGTCTTTCTTTAATTAAATCTAATAGGTCTGAAGAAGCCCAAATGTCATATGGAGGCGGTTGTACGGGAATAATAACAATATCATTGCGAGGGGTTATAGAGGAATGATACGAAATAATTTTATAAATATAAAACACCCTAAAAATGTCTAAAATGCATCCCCACGGGTGCAAACCCAACCCCAACTGCAAATGAACCCCAAAAGTGGACTGAGCCCCAGTTCGGGACTGAACTCCCGAGTGAAGTGAACCCCGAACCTGGGGTTGAACCCCTGAGTGGGTTGAACCCCCTGAGAGGGCTGAACCCCTGACCTGGGGTTGAGTTGTACGAGGGCTGAGATGAAGTCCATGGCGGCAGGACTGACGTCCCCAAACAAGTCCTCAGGGAAGTCCAGGTCCCCCTGGGTGATGTTGAGGAAGGTCTCCTGCTTGGTGTCCCCCGTGAAGGGGGAGTGGCCGGAGAGCAGCACGTACGCCAGCACACCCACCGACCTGGGGGATAGTCCATTATATTTATATGATTATATATAATGCATTATAATTATATAATTATATATAATGCATTTTAATTATATATAATGCATCATAATTATATAATTATATATAATGCATTATAATTATATAATTATATATAATGCATTATAATTATAATCCCCATCGACCTGGTGGGGTTAATCAGTAATTAGCCATTGATCGGAATAATTAAGAAATAATTAACCAGTAGTCAGATTATTTAACCATTAATTAACCATTAGTCAGATCACTTTGCAATTAGTCAGATGAATTGACCATTATTCAGGTGAATTAATGATTAATTTACCATTAGTCAGGTTAATTAATCGTTAATTAACCACTAAGCACATTAATTGATCATTATTCAGAAATAAACAATATTCAGAATAATAAACCATTATTCTCCTTAATTAACCAATATTCATATTAATTAACCATTAGTAACATTAATTAACCATTATTCAGGTTAATTAACCAATATTCAAATATACTAATGAGTAATCAGTTGATTATTCACTGGCAATTACGACTGGCAGTCTACACTCACAGAAATAAGTGTCTCATGACTCACCACATGTCCGTAGCCAGGCTGATGGGCTCGTACTGCAGCACCTCCGGGGCTGCCGGGTCAGCAAAAGTGGGTCACAATCAGGTAAATAATATGCCTATTATTATACCTATTATATTATATACTATTATATATAATGGTGCTATTATATATTATACCTATTATATACCTATTATATTATAACTTATAAAATAAAAGAAATGATTGCGTCATTTCGTCCAAATATTGACACGTTTTCTTACACACATTAAGAGCAGTGAGAGCGGACGTAGCACTGATACGCCCTTAGGCCGGGTCAAACTGTGTCAGGATGACCCACTCATTGGCAAGTAACGACATTTGGACAAATTCTCACTTATTTCTTTGGGTAAATGAGAACCTCGGTATATTTAATTTTATACAACAATTTATAACTTATATAGGTATAAGAATTTATAACTTATATATAACAATTTTATATAACAATTTATAACTTATATATAAGAATTTATAACTTATATATAACAATTTTATATAACAATTTATAACTTTTATATAATAATTTATATGTTCTACTTGAATCTGAGGACAGGGATTCGTTAACTAAGTGCGTCAGGAATAATGTAACAAATTTACTAACATATTTACATGAACAAAAAATTCAGTGAGCATTGAGTAAGAGACCTTCTGTCTTGAGAACTCATCTTGATATACAGGGTGGTTATATATGAGTTATACAGAATAGTATACAGGGTGGTTATACAAGAGTTATAATACAATAATAATATAATATTAATAAGGCTAGAACGTCGTCCGTGTGGTCGGAGTTACTCTAACGCGCGTTACACCGCGGCGCGCTCGTTAGGGGGGCCGTAATTACTAAGGTTCCCAGCCCATTTATATAGACTTCGCTTCCGCCCACACGTTCTTGTCTTCTTAGCTCCACGTGCCAGCACCTCACGTAGCTCCACGTGCCCAGAACCTCACGTAGCTCCACGTGCCCAGCACCTCACGTAGCTCCACGTGCCCATGCTGCTGCTTGAAATAAGTTCTAGAAACAGATTAAAGTTACACTTAAGAACTAATAGTAAAGACCAACAAGTCCTAAGTTCTTAAAGATAAGTTCGGGTCACCAAATACAAGAATATTCAAAGTTCAGAACTTAAATTCAAAGTTCTAGAACCTAGCGAAGTATATAAGTTGAAGAACTTACCTGGCGAATTCTGAAAGCCAATGCTGCTGCATGATACAAGTTCTATAAACAGATTTACTTACACTTATTACCTAATAACAAAGATCTTCAAGTCCTAAGTTCTTAAGGATAAGTTCTGGTGACAATACAAGAAGATCCAAAGTTCAGAACTCTAAGTAAAAGTTCTAGAACTTAGCGAAGTATATAACCTGACGATGGTCACCAAATACAAGAACATCTCGAGTTCAGAACTTAAAGTCAAAGTTCTAGAACTTAGCAAAGTATATATAAGTTTTAGAACTTACCTGGCGAAGGGCTGAGGTTTTACGGTGAGGTGAACTTAAAGTTACAGTTCTAGAACTTAGCGAAGTATATAAGTTTTAGAACTTACCTGGCGAAGGGCTGAGGTTCTACGGTGAGGTGGTCAGAGATAGGTTCTTCACATAACAGCTTGTCCAGAACTGCAGGCTGCAGCTGCAGCAGCCCAGGTTCTGATGGGTGCGCCAGAACCCCTAGCGAATCTAACGGCATTGTGTAGAATTTATTTCACACTTCAACTTATTCAACTTGGAAACTTCAACTTGTTCAACTAGAACTTGCGTCACAAGATATCAGAACCTCTGGACCTGAGTGACGTCATCACTGCACAGCTACAGGGACCAATGATAACAGATTAGAAAAATATAACATAAACTATGCAACATAATACGTACATGATACATNCAGTGAACGGTACGGTGCAGTGAACGGTACGGTGCAGTAAACGGTACCTGTCTCTTATACACATCTAGATGTGTATAAGAGACAGAAATCTACCAATTACAGACAAGAAATCGACGGAATACAGACAAGAAAACGTTATCACTGAACATATCTAATCCTGCATTACAGTAATGTTCATATTGCGCTTTATCGCGGGTTCTCCAAAAATATTAGAAGATAATTAGAAAATCTAAGAAGAAATAATTAGAAAATCAATGATATATCGAAGCAATATTATAAATAATGTCAATTCGGGGATCTTCGCGGGTTTCTGAGGTAGTCGACCAGCAGTAAGAGTGGGAGCAGAGACTATAAACACTAAAACTACGAAAATTTAAATAATTATACTTTAAAATTTTAAATAAACGTATTCGTATTTTTTATTTAAATTTTACATGGTAATCTGTTAATTTAATAACAGATTTATTATACCATCGTTGCTGTATACTAATTATGTTGAATTTAATAACAGATTTATTATACCATTAATGCTGTACACTAATTATTCTTAATTTAACAGCACATTTATTTATTATTTCATCATTGATTTCACCGATGTTTCCTTCAACATTTTGTTGACTTCACATCGTTCGTTTCTCATCACTCACAAGAATGTATAGGTCAGATTGTCAAAATAGTGCCACACCTCCGTGTGTAGCACAGATAAGCAATTATTCCGGGCCAAACTGAATCAAGATTATCCAGATATAAGAACAAAAGTGCATCGCTATTTAGACAAAGTTATTTGAGTTCTCTGAGTGTACCCCTTGTCTTCTATAGAGTTGAACAAGCGATCAGTAAATGATATTAATATTATTTACTAGTAACAATAATTAACTAATATTAAAAACACCCGTAGGAATAAAAGATTAACTGTTACTCGTTGCGTGATACTTCAAGGTAATAATAATAAATAGATATTATTATGTTGAGGCAGAGGACAAATTACACGCTGAGATGGCCAGGCCGTGGTGAGCAACTGGACCGGGGTGGCGCTCGAGCGTGGCCTGGGGCTGCTACGTCCGAACACTTCTACTTAAATGTTCTACTTATAGTTCCATCTAGTTAGAGGATAACTAGTATTTCAGAACTAGTTATTCTATATCTACAAAACATATATACAGATAGTTATTCTATATATAGGTACACTGTTAGAAAAATTCCCGTTAACGGTATTACCGGCGTTTCAGTGGCCGGTCGGCACGTGAAAAGAAACACCGTGTCGCCGTTTTTATTCTAATTTAACACTAGAAATCCGTAAAACATCTAATAAAAACGGCGAAACCGTTTATTTTCACGGGGCGACCGGCGACTAGAACGACAGTGGGACCGTTTTTTCACCGTTTTTTCTAACAGTGTATAGTTACAGAGCTAGTTATCCTCATAAGAAATTATTATAGATTGGCAGAATTTTTTCTTTCAAGCAGGTTTCATTGAAGACCAGAGAATTTGTTATATATATACAGCTACATATACACAGCTAGTTATTCTATATACATAATGACCTTAAATTTTGTTTGGGTATGGGGGTGAAAGGAGAGGGGACTTTGAGGAGCAGGTTTGACCCCCAGGAGGGGGGACGATATAGAGGGTGGGCTTGGTGGAGGGGTTGGGGATGACCCACATTGGATGAGGACATGACCCACCTTTGGATGACCCACTTTGGATGGGGGGCTGGGGGTATCATTTATCCCCCAGGAGAGGGGAAAGGGGGGAATTTTAGTGGGTTGTTGACTTGTTGGGGGGAGAGGTGGGGTTAGTACAGAAGGGTTAAGTGGGGAAAGAGAACCCACCTTGAGGTCGAGGTGGGCCAAGTTGAGGGTGTGGAGGGCCATGAGGGCCCGCAGTGTGTCCCTCACACACTGGAGGGCCACGGCCTCCCCCACCCCCGCGGGGGCCTCGTCCACCAGACGCTGCACCTCCCCGTGGGGGGCCCTGCAATGTTATTATAGTGTTTATTGTATATATATTGTCTATATATTATATATTTTATTATGATATTATTAAAGTGCTTATCATTCATATATTGTCAATATATTATATATTTTTAGTGTGAAATTAATCCATGACCAACAGCTGCATGATGCAGCTCCATTCTATATATTATGCCTACACATATTTTATATGTGCATTATATACGCTATTTATGTATATAATGTATACTTAACCCTCATAAAGCTGTACCTTGCACAGCAGCTGTACCCTACAGCTGTACCCTGCACAGCAGCTGTACCCTACAGCTGTNCACACTTGTCATGCTCTCAGGACACACTTGTCATACTCTCAGGACACACTTGTCATACTCTCAGGCGACCATTAAGTCGGAAAAGGAGATTCTGATCAGAAGCTAATTTCGATCTGGTGGTCATAAATATATAGCTCCCCTGGAGTTATATAACTAACTTATATATATAGTTATATAACTAATATTATATAGATATATAACTCCCTCAGTGGAGTTATATATTTATAACTTTATCGGGTGGTCATAAATATATAACTTTGCGCCGATTGTAGCGACTCCTGCGCAGAAGCCTAGTCGGACCTTAAATTTTGTTTGGGTATGGGGGAGGGAGAGGGGACTTCGAGGAGCGGGTTTGACCCCCAGGAGGGGGGCCGATATAGAGGGTGGGCTAGGTTGGTAGAGGGAAAGGGTTGGGGATGACCCACATTGGATGAGGACATGACCCACCTTTGGATGACCCACTTTGGATGGGGGGCTGGGGGTATCATTTATCCCCCAGGAGAGGGGAAAGGGGGGAATTTTAGTGGGTTGTTGACTTGTTGGGGGGAGAGGTGGGGTTAGTACAGAAGGGTTAAGTGGGGAAAGAGAACCCACCTTGAGGTCGAGGTGGGCCAGGTTGAGGGTGTGGAGGGCCATAAGGGCCCGCAGTGTGTCCCTCACACACTGGAGGGCCACGGCCTCCCCCACCCCCGCGGGGGCCTCGTCCACCAGACGCTGCACCTCCCCGTGGGGGGCCCTGCAATGTTATTATAGTGTTTATTGTATAAATATTGTCTATATATTAAATATTTTAATGTGATATTATTATAGTGTTTATTGTATAAATGTTGTCTATATATTAAATATTCTAATGTGATATTATTATAGTGTTCATTTAAATATTGTCTATGTATTATATATTTAATGTGATATTATATTTTTATATATTATATATTATTTAATGTCGAATTAACACATGGCTTACAGCTGCACGATACAGCTATACCTTACAGCTGTAGCCCCCTCATCGAGGGCCCTGTTATATATATTTTGCATACACATATTATAGATACATTTATGTATATATTACCGTATACACTATTTAGGTATATAATGTACATTTAACCCTCGTACAGTTGTACCCTGCGCAGCTGTACCTTGCACAGCAGCTGTACCCTACAGCTGTACCCTACAGCTGTACTCACAGCTGTAGCAGCAGTATCATCTCGTGCTGCGTCTCGTACAGGCCGCGCAGCTGTATACAGCTGTCGTGGTGGCGCAGCAGATATAGCACGGCGGCCTCGTGCAGGATGCCGTGGCGTACGTTGGTGCCACGGCGCTGCTTCCGCTGGTACTTGGCAGCGTACCACTCCTGTCGTGTACCTCCTCCGGCCACGTGCACCGTGCGGTGCGCGCGACGTACCACCGCGTACTTGCCCCTGGGGGTACGT